AGATTGTCTTGTTTGAGCAATGTTTTTTGTCAATCTCCTAAGAATGACTTATAGTCTTATAGCATGCTCTTTGATGGAAATAATTTTCTTGCACATTTTGAGAATCGCTAGAGTTTTTGCTAATTTTTTACCTCCTTTCTGGGAAACATTTAAAAACGCTCTCTTTTATGTGATGGTCCCCACAAATAAATCGGAGCAACCAAAATAGGGTACTACGGGGCATGCTCATACCATCTTCCCTAGTACCCTGTTTCACGTTATTTAAAAAAAAAAAAAAAAAAAAGGTTCGACTTTTACTTTTTATTTCTATAAAAAATGTTAGGTTTTGTCGTTTTGTTAGATTTTCACGAATTCTGTGTTCTACCCTCTTGTGCTTATACCCCCAAAACTTGCCATTGGACATCTCAGTTCTGACTTGGGACTCCACCCCCACTTTCCTAAAATCCTTGGCACATCCCCCTTTTCGCACTTATAGGCCCCCATCCCACTCTGATCAGGAAGTCACGTCGGGCGTGAGCTTTTGGGCATCACAATGCGCTAGTACTCTGGACGACGACCCGGGACTTTGGTAGTATGCTGGCGCGTTCTATTCTGTGTGCCAGACATTGCTGATGTGACGCATGCCACTTGTCTACATTGCTGATGGGTGCATGCAACTTGTTTACATTGTTGATGAGGCGCATGCCACCTATCTATATTGTTGATGTGGCGCTGCCCCGCTGCCACCTGTCTACATTGCATTGCTGATGTGGCGCTGCCACCTGTCTTCATTGTTGATATGGTGTATGCCACCTATCTGTACAGCTGACGTGACATTGGCCATGTTGTCTACATGAGGTGACTGGTTGCGACAAGTAGGGAGATCGGGATCTGTGGATGATTGGGAGATGGTACTCACCCGAGGTTTACGTCGATACGTGGACTGCTGTTGTCTTCATTGTCTCCGCGAGATGCTAGTGTGACGTGGCACTTCTACAGACTTGTTATTGTATAATGATTGCTGACGTGGAGGCGAGGGGAAGCCCAGAGAAAGAGTGGGAATTGATTGGGCTACTCTTGTGTGGTCATTGATCGGGAATTATTCAGAAAATTTTGAATTCATTTATGAGTCTGCAGTTCTTGGATCATATTAGAAAATCCAAAAAATAAAAATAAAAATTGGAGATTAGAAATCAAATAAGAAAATCCAAAAAAATAAAATAAAAACCAGAGATTAGAAAAAACAGATTTACAATCATCTGAAAATCGAAATCGGGTTACTATCTTGAAGCTACTTCCAAAATAACAAGATCAGAACAAAAAAAACAAAGGTCACTCAAGCCACGAAGAGCAAAAATATGGACCCTTCAATTACCCTCCGCCCTGCCCAAGAGTTCCCGTGTCTTTTCACATTACCCCAAAACGTTCTGGTTCCAATATCCTGGTATGGAAGGGATTCACTTAAATGATGTTTCCACACCCAGACCGGCACTCTCTGTTTAAGGTTGGAAAGGCTAGATAGGAAAGACAACATCTGGCGCCCCATTTTGGGTGAAGAGGTCAACTTCAACTATAGCAAGGTCTGCTCTCTCAAGATACTCCTCAAAGGAGATTGACATTCTCAGAACAGTTATCGATGTGATTCCTATGATGTTTCCTTAAATTGTGAGGGACGCTGGACCCGTTTTCCAGCAGGTGCTGCTCCCCACAAATAGATGGAGCCCCCCAGAGTATGCTAGGGTAGTCTGCTCTTATCAGCTACCCTAGCATCTACTCAGGGCGTTTTTAATATTTAAAAAAAAAAAAAGAAAAAAAAAAAGGCTTCACTTACCCCTCACTTGCCACGTAGCAAGACAAAACCACCGAACCTGCCGGTGACCCCTCACTGGTAGTCCGGGGGGGAACAGACCTTCCATGCCCTTCGTTGCCCTTCAGGACCTACTCGTTGAAAACAAGACACCCCGCCCTTCGTAGCTCTGATGATTATGCTGGCAGCCCATACCCTTCGCAGCCCTTCACAAGCAGCCTCTTCGTAGTAGCCTCATCCCCTACGCACGATGCATCACCCTTATCGCCATCCTTCCCATCATCATCCCTTCACCCCAAAACTTCTCCACCACCACCTCACACCACCCCGAATCCACTCCCCCCAGCACCGCACCGCACCGCACCGCCGCTTGTTGTCGTCCAGCGCTGCTTGATTCACCATCGCGCTGCTCCGCCGCAAGTCGCCGCTCGCCGCTGCTCGGTTCACCATCGCGCTGCTCCGCCGTCGCCGCTCAACACTGCTCGGTCTGACTGCGCGGGCGGGGCGCAGCGCTCCCAGCCGCGCTGCGCCCCCCCTAGCGGTCCTCCGATCGTTTTGCCGAGAGACCCCAAGGGATGCCATGTGAGTGTGTTGTCCAACTCCTTGAACTCCTATGCAGTGAACTCCATGAACTCCATGACCGATTTCCGTCCACAGAGTCTGACCCCGTGAGCGGTGAATGGGGGTACAACACTGACCACCAGTATTTCCTAAACTTGTGCCCGTTCACAAGCCACAATTTTAAGAAACGTATGGGCCACTACAGGAGCGCCCAAATTCATCCGACTAGAAACGTTTCTACTCTATTTTTCCCCGCGGCCGATAGCTGGGCCAAGTACTTGTGGTTTAGCGTGAGGACCCTGCAGCCTATGTATGGGCCCTATGGGTCAAGTACCAGTTGTTTAATAATCAGATCATCACATGGAACCCTTTTTTTTTTTTTTTTTAAACACGGGCCCAGTGCCCAAGGCTTGTATTTCCAATAACATGTCGAGGCCGGGGTCCTCACAGTCTACCCGGAATGGCTGGGAGCGTTACCCAGTTTCTCTTACAGGGTTGGACCTCACCCTGCGAGGCATAACCAAGCCTCATGACTTCTAACCATTCTTCGCTCTTAGATCACATGGAACCCGCATAAATCAGACCTGACAAGTGCACTGAAATTATGGGTGAATCCCCTTTAAACCACCAGTACCCCAGGTCCCAGAGGGTCTTAGGCCCCCTCTGCCCCCCCTCTGACGCAAATGCATATGGACAGGTGCGGCAGACTGATTCAGCCATTGCCTCAAAGGCCTGAAAACGTGGAGGTACTGGTGGTTTAAAAAAGAAAAAGAGAGCAAAAGGAAAGAAAGGAAACGAAACAATGGGGCAAACAAAAAAAAAGGGAAATGAAACGAAGGGGCAAAAAATAATAATAATAATAATAAATGGAATGGAAACAATTGGGCCTTGGTTGACATTTGTGCTCTACTGACAGCGGGGGGTGGCTGCAGGGATGGTAGAGGGACAGGGATGTAGGGCCTCAGCTCTGTGGACACACAACCCTGGTCCACCCTGCACATGGTCTCACAACTGTCTGCCCCCCAAATAGAACTACGAGTGGTCAGTATAGACATCCAGTACTAGGGGCAACTTTCCTGTCTACATCCAGTAATAAAAACGGCACCGTGGAAGACCGTAGCAGCATGACATGGGACTCCATTGAAATATCTCTCTTTACTCCAGAGGGCCACTTGTCGGTGTTCGGCGTGAACATGTTTTTTGTCGTTTTTTCCCAAATAAAAGGCCAGGGAGTTATAGACGCCAAGGAGAACAGACCCACGGGGATCGCTGGCAGCAGCAGCTGATGTTGTCCTGACAGGACAGGCCACCTTCAGTGAGCATCGTTTATAAGAACTTATACCCCAGTGGCAAGACCTCTCTCTCTCTCTCTCTCTCTCTCTCTCTCTCTCTCTCTCTCTCTCTCTCTCTCTCTCTCTCTCTCTGTGAGACAGTCCTCCCCCTTCCCCTCCGCCCCCCGCTCCCCCCCCTCTTACATGGAGCGTAGTTTGACTAAACCTGAAACACACACACACACACACACACACAGAGAGAGAGAGAGAGAGAGAGAGAGAGAGAGAGAGAGAGAGAGGGGTGACAAACCTGAACAGCGAGTGGCAGCAACGGAGCACAATGGTCAAACCTCTTGTTTACGGAGTTATTTTCGGAGGCTGCAAGGCCTCAATAGAAGCTTTTGAATTTTTTTTTTTAATGTATTAATTAAAGCGCAGCAGGCCTTGAGATATCATGATCGAGCTGGCCTCCCCTAGACAATTCAGACTTGTAGCATTTTACTAATTTGCTTCCAGTCGAGTTTGAACTCAGGTCTGAGGTCTGTATCTGGACAGTTTAGGGCTGTTTGGGGGAAACTGAAGGTTACCAAGTGGCATGGTACCCGTTGCTTTTCAGCCTGAGGAATCTTGAGTGCAGGSAGGCCYGCMCCCSTTTCMCCCCCCCCCCCCCCCCCCCCCCTCCTTCTCCCCTTCCCTCCCCACCTCAAATTGTCCTGTACTGGGGCATGTTTGTAGAAGTTGTAAATTGTAATGCCTCCCATGGCACACATATTTAAGAAGCGGACGAGTTGTAAAAAAAAAGCAAAAGGATATAACTGGGGCCAGAGAGGCAGGGGAATCTGTGTCCTCTGTCATCCTAAGGGCCTCGCCACACAGGCTTTGGAAACGTGAAAACGACAAAAATGTGCCAGGCGCATCTGGCCATGTTCTAGCGGCAAGTTCATTCTCGTTTTGCACATTTCGACAGCCTGTGTGGCGAGTCCCTAAGGTTCTTGGGAGCCAGAAAAATGAGTTATAATTGCACTGCACAATGGGCCAAGATACAGTTTCGAATTGCAGTTCGGGGCCGCAATGTATGCAAGTTAAATACAACCCAGCTTTCTGGCCAGGTAGGGTGGCTACGAAGTGCCATTGCAAACTGTATGATCTTGATTCTTGCCCCATAGTGTAATTATAACTGGTGTTTTGTGACTCTACTGAAGTAACTGTTAACTTACCCCTTTTTATTATTACGTTTTTGTGATTGCAAATGTCTAGAAAAAAGTTCCCCCTCCTCGGACTCCTCCAGCCCTAGCAAACCCCCTTTTTCTTTTTTTTGTCCCTTTTTCTTCCCTTTTTGAGTAGCGAGCCTTCAGCGAGTGACGATCGTAGTTTGGGACTATAAAATCCGGTCGCTCCTACCACAACAGCACAATTGCGCACTCGCTTCGAGCTGGCAGGTTGGTTGTGCCGTCCACCTCTCCTTACTTCTTCCTTCTCCCTTCTCAACACTCTTTTAGAGTCTGTATTTGTATATAGCTCTCTCGGAGTCTGTATTTGTCTCTAGCTCTCTCAACTATCTCAGAGTCTGTATTTCTGTATAGCTCTCTCGGCGTCTGTATTTGTCTATAGCTCTCTGAACTCTCTCGGAGTCTGTATGTGTCTATAGCTCTCTCAACTCTCTCAGAGTGCGTATCTGTCTATTATAGGGCTTCCGCCATCTCCAAGCCTAAGGGATTTGCTTTGATGTCTTTCCCGCTGACTCAGAGTTCGTACTAATGACAAGCAAGCGCTTGGAGTGACCGACCGAGGTGCTGTACTGCTCATGTCAGCGTGTGAATACTCTTCTCTCTCTCGGCCGCTCTACCCTCTTCATCCTTTCCGTTCTCCCTCTCGCTCCTTTGCTTCTTGCAAATTTGTCCCTCATACTGTCCGAGGTGCTGTACTGCTTGGTACTTAGCCTACTGCTGCTCATGTCAGCGTGTGAATACTCTTTTCTCTCGTCCGCTCTACCTCGCTTCATCCGCTCCTTTCTCCCTCTCGCTCCTTCCCTTCTTGCAAAACTGTCCCTTGTGCTCTTATCTCTCGCCCATTCGACCTCTCTTCTCCCTCCCCTTTCTCCCTGTCTCCCTCGGTTCTCGCAAAATTGTCCCTCAAAAGCCACCCCGGACGGAGCTAGGCTGGAGATTTCCTCTGCGATGAAGTCTCTTGTCATCATTCAGCTTGTGACCGAGGGACCATTTCTGCCAAGTGTGAAAACACTAAAAGCTTTGTCTAATATATACTACGTGTCTGCTGCTACGCATCTGCTATCTTACTCTGTGCTGTGTGCTGTGTGCTGTGTGCTGTGTGCTGTGTGCTGTGTTTGTGCTGTCTGTGTCCTCTGTGTGTCCTGTGGTTGTGGCTCACACTGTAAAGCTTGTGTTGTAGCTTCTCTTTTTGTGTATGCTATGTGGGGTATGCTTCTCACTTTGTGTATGCTATGTGCATGCTATGTGCATGCTACGTGCATGTTCGTCACTTTGTGCATGCTTTGTGTTTGCTTCTCACTTTGTTCTATGCTATGCGTTTGTGCTGTGTGTGTGCTGTGGTTGCCGCTCAGACTGTGAAGGCTGCATTGTACCAAGTCCAAAGAAGAAGAAGAAGAAGAAGAAGAAGAAGAAGAAGAAGAAGAAGAAGAAGAAGAAGAGGAAGACAGCAGAGTACGAAAGGAGGAGAAGCAGACAAGACAAGATGAAGCGGCAGTCTGCTAGCATGGTAGCTATGGTCATGGTCCTGGTGGCCGTTGGCGTGGTGTTGCTTGCTGTGTACCCGTCCGAGGTCGTGGGCTACGACTGCAAATGGTACAAAGACCACAACGGGAACACGATCCGGAGAATAGACTGCTACGCCAATCCGGACGCAGCGAGCTTGGATGGATGTCAAACAGAGTGCGACAACTACTACGGATGCAAGGGAGTTGTGTGGATTCCCAACCAATACGGATGGAAGAATGGCGTTCTCTGCTGCTTCCTCAAGAAGAAGATTGGCAAACTGCAAAACCAGGCTAACCGTGTCACCTGCAAGAAATGAACTCAGTCTTCTCAGAGGAGAAGGTCGGCTTATTAAGAGGAAAAAAAAAAAGAAAAAGAGAGAGAGAGAGAGAGAGAGAGAGAGAGAGAGAGAGAGAGAGAGAGAGAGAGAGAGAGAGAGAGAGGCATCCCCTGCACGAGAGAGAGAGAGAGAGAGGCATCCCCTGCACGAGAGAGAGAGAGAGAGAGAGAGAGAGAGAGAGAGAGAGAGAGAGAGAGAGAGAGAGAGAGAGAGAGAGAGAGAGAGAGAGAGAGAGGCAACCCCATGCACAGGGTTGTTACGTACGGAATCTACGGATGAGTCACTAAGATGATGGCCTTGGTGTCGCTGCTCTCTGAAGGATCCGTGAACGTTCTGAAAGTATTCCTTTTCTAGCATGAGGTTTAGAGGTTACCGAATCATCAAGAGAGTGGAGTGCTTAGACATGCCGGGCAGTGTACCCTTTGTTTCCTATTATGGAAAGAAATCAATGCTACCGTAGTAGTGCCGGAACTTGAGATACAAGACAACCGGAGCTCTTCTTGGCCTATAGTGGCATGCCGACCAGGATTGTCGGCAGCAGTTGGTGACCGTGGTGGTCCCCACCAGTCTATGCGGCGCCTAGTAATGTGGGGGGTAGACCGGAAACACAGGGGTCTCCTACTGGGCCCTGGGTGTCAGGCTACCCTTCTCCTTTTCTGGGTTAATAAGAAAAAATGATAAGAAGGTTCTCCTTTCTCCGGCGGTTATGCTGGATTCTGATTGGTGTTTTATGTGTTGACATGCTCTCTTTCTTTTTTTTTTTTAATCATTTCTAAATGATTTTTTAATTATTGGGGCAACGGCTCGTGGGTCACAACCCACGTTTTGAATGGGCAAAAAAAAAAGTCGTCCGCAGGTCCGTCCCGACCGTAGTTCAAAACGGCAATGATAACAGTGGCCGCATTATACACATGGTGCCTGTTCGAAACAGGCACTTTTGTCTTCTTTTTTTTTTTTTTTTCCCGGTC